CTTTTCCCTACCTTCCTTTGCCCCGCGATTCTTCCTCCCCCTCCCCGCGGGTGGGGGAGGAGCGCGAGCCGTGACACTAGCCTTCAGTGCCCGTCTCTGATTCTCAAACCGAGATGGGCCAGGACTGGGTTGTTCGGGCTCAGACCTGGACCTCCTTTATCCAGGTCTTTCAGCAGGTCAGCCTGATATGCTTGGAGCATCACCATCGTGTGCAATGAAGCGACAGCCCGACCTGCTGCTGCTGTGTATGCCCTGGCATTAGAGCGAGTCTTAAAAGAGGACGTCTCACCCATAGAGAGATAGCTGGCCAGCGTACAGGGGCATCTTCTCATAACCGCTTTCGCGCATCGCCTCGATGTTGGCATAACTCGTATGCTGGAATCGATGGATGCGTGAGGAAAAAACGGCCTCTCCATTCCTTCTCAATCTCTGTATGGAAAACAGGAAGAAAGGAAGGCTCACCTGAGCTGGAGAGTTATGGCCAGAAAAATAACGTTCATCGAGATGACCTCGCGACGTCACTTTCTTCGCCTCGCCGAGGTGAGATCCATAACTTTCAAAAGCTCATCATACGCAGGGCAAGAGGATTGGGAAGGCTCAGCCTCAGCTTCTTTGCCCTCCTCAGACATTTCCTGCTTTTGCTGGGGCGAACCCAGCAGAGCACTGGTCCCTGGATCAGACAATGTCAATGAAATAACATCATCCTCCAGCGGCTCACTCTCGTCCACAGCCGACGATCGCGAGAGGGAAAACCCCTCTTCAAACTCATCGGCCAGATCCACCTGCGATCCCCACGAGCTCATTTTCCTCCGTGCCTCAGCAGCGGCGGGTCCTGAATCGCGGGATGCAGATGGCTGCCCCTCTTTCCTCGAAAAGAGAGGCAAACGAGAGCGGAGCTTTTTCATTGGAAAAACGCTCGCAGTGCACGTCGATTGCCCCCCCGGAGACATCGCGTGCGTGCTCTTCGCCCAAACAAATAACGCATAGATTGTGTGTGTCATCAGATGTTAAACAACGACACGGATGCACACAACCTCTAAACGCTTTGCTAGTGCTCGCCATAATGATATGAATAGAGATTGCTCTTACCACAGAAATGCACGCTTCAAACAAAACAGTCAGTGAAGACGAAGAAGAGGATGATGTGTGCTCCCGGTGCCTATTTATACTATAGTCGCATCGGTAGTGACGTCATGGCTGTCGCCGGCCAACGTGTTGTTGGTGTTTTTTCAATGTATGCTTCAGACACGGGTCACGACGAGGCGTTCCCCATAGCGACCCCTAGAGGACGCAGTTCAAAGTTCCCATGAAAGGGAATTTGTGTTCACAACACTGCACATGTAGTCTACCGAAGATTTTTTTTTATTCTTTCAGGGAACTAACCCACTGTAGCTAATGATGTCTAAAACGTGTTCCAATGGTACACAGTAATCCTGACCGCTTGCACTGTTAGCCCACCCTGTGCATATTTCAACAAACGGTTTCCAGGCTTATAAATTGTTGTCTAGCAACATAATTAACATTCTAGTCCTTGAGTAAATATCAGTGGTCCTTTGTGGGCTTGTGCAGGCACACCCTTTGCATAACAATTTGCCTTTCACAGGCTCTTTGCACATCACTGCGAATGAAACTGTAATTCTTTTAATGGTCACAGCATAAGTGGAGGACATCTGGATAAACAGACAATGCAAACCTTTCTGCTATTCTGAACGATCCCGTTGTCAGCGCATTGTGCTCCTATCTTTGTCAACCAGTTCCTAGGTTGCATTATTTTTCTTTGAAAAACAAACTTGAATGTAAAAAAAATAAAAAAATAAATAACAACCATACATTTTATGTCCCACAGTAACTGGACAGCAGATTTAATTCGAATCAATTTAATATAATTATTTTAAAATTATACATAGAAAATGTACAATCTAATATAATCTAATTTACTATGCAGCATTTCTTTAATCAAAATTTGTTTAAAAAACATTGACTTGTTTGTTATGGCCACTATTTGATCACATTCATGTTTTAGATAATTATCAATAATTCTCTATCATAATATATTTTCACTTTTTGTTTTTCAGCCTTTTTAAACATAAAACCTCCATTTTATGAATAAGTGTTGTGTTTCATGACACAACATGATGCTGCACCACATTTTGAATGCAAAAGATCTTAAGTTAACACTAATAAAAAGGTTCCCATAAAAGATGACATGATTTTTCAAGCCAAAGCCTTTGGCACAATTAGCATAAATAAGATCTCAAGAGTGTTCTCAAGGCAACATACACAAATCATTTTAGTGCCTTAAATAAGTTTCAGAAATAAAAACTACACTACTTGTGTAGTGTGTACAGACTGTGTAAATAATCCAGTCTTTACAATGGCAAAGACAAAGTGAGGCCATTTGTGGTAATTAGATGAATTCACCTTTGAACAGCAAGAGCTGCCGGTACTCAAGATTTATTGGAGAATTTATCAGCCATTATAAGGCTTCAAACTCATCTATTCTCTGCTTGGTGTTGCCCATGCGGATCTGACGAAGCGTCTTGTACTTGTCCCTCCCGGCTTGTACATTTTCATTGTGCAGAATGTCGTTCTTAGTCTTCTTAGAGTCATCTCGTGCGTCAGCAAGCTCAGAGCTCAGGGCCTAAAAGCAATTTAAGATACAGTTAGTCACAATGTACATATCTAATGGGACAACTGAAATTAAAAAAATTGAGATGTGAAGTATAATTCATACTACTGGTGTGATCTGAAAGTGGTGATATGAGATC